GCAAAAGAAAGGGTTCAAAACTGGCTGGTGTGAAAAGTGGTGATCAAGATGCAAGTTGTGTTTGTGAAGTGCATGAGGATGTTCAATTTCAGTTCTAAGCACAATCAGGTCAAATTAAACATACACACACCATACATACATGTTGTTGAGTAGATTCAAACAAAGATTGAGGCTAAAAACAGACTGTTATGAGAAATGATATGCAAGCTGCATTTTGGCATTTTGGTTAAACATGAAGAAATGCAAAACAATTTCTATGCACATTTGAGCCAAGTGGATCACATACACACCCTTCATACATGTAATCAAGTGAGTTCAAGCAGGAGAAATGATTCAAAACAGTGTATGGCAGAAAATGATACTCAAGTTGCTTTTTGGTGTTGTTGTGTTCATGAAAAGTGCCAAAACAGTTTCTATGCATAATTGTGTCAAGTGAACCACATACACATATCACATATATGTTGATAAATGATTTCAAGCACAAAAATCAATCCAAAACAGCCTATAGCAGAAAATGACAATCAGCCTGTATTTTGATATTTTGACAAAGCATGAAAAGTTCAAAAATCAGTTTTAAACATATTCAAGCCAAACTAACTATGCACACACTTCCCAAATATGATATCAAATGAGTTCAAACACCAAAATGTTTGCCAAACAAACTGTTATGACAAATGAGATTCAAGCAGCTACATGGTACATTGATGCACATGAACAAGGTCCAAAACAGTTTTAAAGCATTTTTTAGATAAGTAGGTCACATACACATGTTACATACATGACAACAAATGAGTATAGACAGGAAAATTGATTGCAAACAGCCTGTGGTGTAAGGTGACATCCAAAACTGCATCTTGGCATATGGAAAACAGTGGTAAAGCAAGCTTTGTGACAAAACACATCAAGGTTACTTTCATGGCATGGTAATGAATGAGATAAAGTAAGAGGTTACATACCTCTTGTAGACAACTTTGAACAAGCAAAGAGCCAAGAAAAAACCAGAGAACTTCAATCACCTCCTAGCTTTGAAGCTTTTCTTCTCTTTGAAGCAATATGCAAATTTTGTGACAGTTTGAGAAATAAGCTTTACCAATGATCCTCAATGCTTTGGACAGTTGAGATATGATGTATATGAGGTGTTTGAATGATTATAACATCAAGAAAGTGTTTATACAATGTCTTGGCTGATTTTATGCATTGTGGTCAAAGTTACTTGGTATGGAAGTTGACTTTTGGGAGCTTGAGGTTTTTGAGTGGTTTAAAGGCTTGGACACCTTCTATACCATATTTATGGATTGTGTGGATGATTTTTGGTAAGTTTGAATGTGTGGAGATGAGTTTAGGGGCTGTTTTGCTCAAGACAGATTTTTGGGGTTTTGCTTGATTTTGAGGTTTTGTGAAAATGAAGCAAGGAGTGAAAGAGTGAGAGCTTGTTGGCTTCTCTGGTTTTTGAGAGCCTTCTTGTGTGTTGAATGAGGTAGAGGGGTGCTCTATTTATAGAGAAATGAGAGTGATGGGGCAGATTGGAGGTTTCCTTCCTAAGAGGGAAAGGTTTGTCATTTTTGTTCAAATCTCTCAAAAGTGCTTTCTTGGCTTGGAGGTAAGCTGAAAGTCAAGTGTAATGATGGATTTAGAGTGGCTAAAGTGATTCTGGAGAGTATAGGGACATGACTGGTGCAGAGCTTCACTTTTCCTCCTTTTTGCATTTTGAATTTTATAATGCAAGTTGCATTTACAACTTACAAGCCACTTGCAAGCCACTTGCTTTGGCTTGCAATTCTCATTCCCTCTGCATTTCCTTTTCATTTTTATTCTACAAAGTCTCTAGATCAGATACAACATGATCCAAGGGCTGAGAAAGGTTCAAGTGATCAATGCATGAGTTTATGCAAAATTGCCAATGTGGGACTCAAGTCACTACGCCAAAATTGGTTTTTTGTATCGCCTACTTTAATAGCGCTTTTAAATAAGCGCTATTAAAAAGGAAACAAACATATTTATAATAGCGCTTTATAGTAAAGCGCTATTAAAGAGTACAGGGAATATGATTTTGATAGCACTTTGTAAAAAAGCGCTATTATAGATATTCACTAAGATAGCGCTTTTCTAAAAAGCGCTATTAAAATGTTGTATTACAATAGCTCTTTTATAAAAGCGCTATTATTAAAAGCATTACGATAGCGCTTTTTAAAAACCGCTATTAAAATATGTAACTACAATAGCGCTTTCTATGGAACCGCTATCGTTTCTATAATTGTGTTTTAAGATAGCGTTTTTTTAAAAAGCGCTATTAAAATATTCACTAAATTAAATTAATTAAAATATGAAAACCTTTCCTGGCCCAAATGTTTTTCGTTTTGGCTCAAAATACTTTCACCCACACAAAATTCTTTCACCCACGCAAAATTGGTTTTGGCGCAAATGTTCTTCACCGCTTCTTCATCGATTCACCACTTCTTCATCGATTCACCGCTTCTTCATCGATTCACAGCCATCTTTTTTACTTCACTGGAATAAAAAGACGAACCCTAAGACAGCTCACCACCTTCATCCTTCTCTGTCGATCTTAGCCGCCGTCATCAGCTCACCACCTTCATCCTTCTCCGTCGAAAGGAGCCGCCGTCATCAGCTCACCACCGTCATCCTTCTCCGTCGAAAGGAGCCGCCTTCATCAGTTCACCACCGTCACCCTTCTCTTCATTATAACCGGTAATCTTTCTTTTTCTCAGATTATTGCTTTGTGTTAAATTATAAAATTAGGGATTTGAATGCTTTTTGTTGTAATTATGACCGGTAAAATTAGGGATTTGAATGCTTTCTGTTGTAATTAGGACCGGTAAAATTAGGGATTTGAATGCTTTGGTTTGGAAACCGTTAGACTTCTGTAGGTAATTTAGGACCTAATCTTGGAACATTGCACAATGGTATCCCTTGGCTAATTACAGTGGCCAAATTTTGTATAAGAGTTGCAAAAACAATAACTTTGTAGTGAAATTATTTTTTTTTACTAATAATAGAACATGTTAATTTGATGTGCATATGGTTGATGTTAGTGTGCGACAATAATATGATTTTAAGCTTGCACATTTGATGTATTTTCATGAATCTAGTAATTTTGTTATGCTTGAATGTATTTTCAGTTGTTCTAATTGGTATTTTGTGATCATGTTTGAAATTACTTTAGGGGAAAGCCAAAAAGGCAGTTGAAGCCATGATAACAAGATCTAAAGAAACCGTGAAGACTGAAGATGTGAATTTGAGTGAGGAAGAAAGAACTGAGAAAGAGCAGAGGGAGTTGGTGCCTTTACTAACTGGTGGGAAATTGAAGTCTTATCAATTGAAGGGTGTAAAGTGGTTAATCTCCTTGTGGCAAAATGGACTGAATGGGATTCTTGCTGATCAAATGGGTCTTGGGAAGCCAATCCAAACTATTGGGCTTCTTTCTCATCTTAAATCAAAAGGATTGGATGGGCCATATATGATAATTGCTCCTCTATCAACCCTCTCCAACTGGATAAATGAGATATCTAGGTATATTCTTATATCTAGTATTATTTTGTTATGTTGTGCTTCTTCACTGTGATAATTGTTTCTTGAATAAATGTATTTAGGTTTGCGCCATTGCTCCCTGCTGTTATCTACCACGGTAGTAGGGATCAGAGAGATGAAATCAGAAGGAAACATATGCCTAGAACAATTGTTCCAAAATTTTCCATAGTAATAACTTCTTATGAGATTGCATTGAATGATGCTAAGAAATTTTTCCGGGCATACCAATGGAAATATCTTGTTGTTGACGAGGTACACATTCTTTCATTTGCATGCATAACACATTCTATGTTTTGTTGTATGTGTTTACTCAACCTCAATCATATCCTCAGGGTCACAGGCTAAAAAATTCACAATGCAAATTAGTGAAGATGTTGAAATACATCAGTGTTGAAAATAAGCTTCTTTTGACTGGGACACCACTCCAGAATAACTTGGCGGAGCTGTGGTCATTGCTAAACTTCATCTTACCTGATATTTTCTCATCTCTTGAAGAATTTGAGTCATGGTTAGTGTTTTATTCCTACTGGTTATTGTTCACACTTTTCTATATTTCCACTGTCATATGGCGATATGTTACTGTTGGAAATATAATTTCCTGGATTGTGTAAGGAAAACAACATAGAGAAAAAAGAAGTGCTTTGTTATATTGTGATCTAAATCAATGTGCTTTTTATTATGTACTGTACTCTACTAATTTAATTTAATGCAGGGCGTACTGTAGGGAGTATTAATAACTTGATGATTCAACTTAGGAAAGTCTGTAACCATCCTGACCTCTTAGAATCACCCTATGATGGTTCATGTAAGTTGTCACATGGTTGGATGGTTTAGCTAATGTTATGAATAGTGATACAAATAATAAGCTGCATTTTATTTGTGATAGATTTTTATCCTCCCTTGAATGAGATAATTGAGCAATGTGGAAAATTCCAATTGCTCAACCGGTTGTTGGAGCGGTTATTTGCATGCAATCACAAGGTATGCTTTACATGTGTTGCTTTTGGCTTCCTTTTTTGTGTCGCCAAGCTGTGACTCACACCTTTGGTTATTGCTATCAGGTTCTGATCTTCAGTTAATGGACTAAAGTGCTAGATTTAATAGATTATTATTTTAGTGAACAGGGCTTTGAAGTTTGCAGGATTGATGGTTCAGTGAAACTGGATGAAAGGAAACGGCAGGTCTGTACAAGTGCTTGTAAACACCACTTTTAATCAGATAACTCAAATTACTTTTGTTAATATGTTTTGTTTTATGATTTGATTCTTTTGAATGTGAAATTAATAATGCAGAATCTTGCATCACGATCTTCAAATATGTCTGTTTTGTCATAAATGATAACTTAAGGGCCTGTTTGTTTGTGCTTGTTTTTCAATAAAGAAACCTCTTATTATCCGCGGCTTACTACATTTTGGCACTGATTTTATCATGAGCGTACAACGCCTTCCATTATGGATGAAATGGAGGTTTGTATGTTAGTTGTAGTTTGTAATTGATTTTTTTCTTTTTGTTCTCAGTATTTTCTTTTGTATAAATGAATTTGTCGGGAAAATGTACTAGAATCTAATGTTGAAAATGTGGTTTTGGTTATTTACATGGCTAGCTAGTTTTTAACTTGACTAGAAATTTTTTAAACTTGACTAGAATGTTTTTCTAATCGTTGGATTGGCCTAACTAGATAAACATGCAACCCTTTTAATCATCAATTAGTTTCATATTCAAGCTTATATGCCTCATACTACAAATTGCTAAAATTTTGGGGAAGATTAGCCTCTGTATTATCAATTTCCAAAATAGTATTGTTGCATCTTTATTTATTTAGGGGGAATGGATCTGCTTAGCTCCAAGATTGACTGGAACTATGAAGCAGACAGTCCATAGTCTCTGATCTGTGATATTTGGTTTTTAGAGTTACATTTTTCACCATGTTATAATGAGTGTCTCTTATCTGTGATATTAGGAAAATGATCTATTGGCATTGCTTCGAGATGATGAAACAGCTGAGGACAAAATGATACAGAAAGATATTAGTGATGAAGACTTGGAGAATCTTTTGGATCGTGGTGATCTTGTTGTCGATGGCTCGACTGATGTCAAAGCTCCAGTTAGTACCTTTCCCCTTAATGGACCTGGGTGGGAGGTGGTGATTCCAACTGCATCTGGTGGCATGCTTTCCACTCTCAACAGCTAATTTCTTGCACGTGCAACAAAACTTTTTTAGGCTAAATATTTTTAGAAATATTGCTTTTTCTGGCATGAGATATAATTGAATTTGAGACAATCTCAGCCAGTGAAATGTCCTGGAGGGCATTCAATTTTGTAAATTCTACTAAAGGAACTACAGGTAGAGAGATGAAAGCTACTTTGCTGCATGTTATTTTCAGACTATTCACATATCCAACATTCATCCACCCAATTTAAACTAGGCTTGTAACTAACCGACTTGTTTGACAGGCTTTGATTTTGATTTGTGTTTGCTTGCTTTATTCACTTAATGATATTCTTATTAAAAAGATACTCCATGCTTTATTAATGCCAAGCACTTTCTGAAGAAGCTTGTGCTGTGCCCATGCTCCAGGTAAACATTTTATAATTTATTGTAAAATTTTGTTATAATTTATTGTAAAATTTTGGATTTTGGTGGCTAATTTGTTTAAAAGAATATACCCTGACATGATACTGTCATCCTATCAATTTGCATCTTTTACCCTTTAACAATACTATCTTATGCAGGAGATTTATTAATTTGCCCCATGTTTGTATAATAGCAAACAAAAAAAGTTGATAAACTTTACAATTTAGACATGTACTCTTAAGCCAAATTAATGGTATCACATTTGTCATTATTATTTTAATTTCAAGTATTTTAGCTACTTAGTTATAATTATTTTATGAATTCTAATATTGTAAAATGCAATTGCCATATATATATATATATATATATATATATATATATATATATATATATATATATATATATATATATATATATATATATATATATATATATATATATATATATATATATATATATATATATATATATATATATATATATATATATATATATATATATATATATATATATATATATATATATATATATATATATATATATATATATATATATATATATATATATATATATATATATATATATATATATATATATATATATATATATATATATATATATAATGATTTGGTGTAAAAAAAAAGTGTATTAAAAATAAAGCAATTTACCGGTATTTCAATAGCGCTTTGTTTGGAAGTGCTATCGAATATGTGGATTATAATAGCGCTTTGTTTGAAAGTGTTATTAAATATGTGTCTTATAATAGCGCTTTATTGGAAAGCGCTATTAAATATGTGTACTATAATAGCGCTTTGTTTGAAAGTGCTATCAAAATTATAGCAAATTACCGGTGCTATAATAGCGTTTTTTTTAAAGCGCTATCAAATATGTGACTTATAATAGCGGTTTTGTAAAAGCGCTATTAAATACAGGTCCTATAATAGCGCTTTTGAAAAAGCGCTATTAATTACCAGAACTATAATAGCGTTTTTAAAGCGCTATTAAAAATTTTGTTTTACAATAGCGCCTTGATTAATAGCGCTTTAAAGCGCTATTAAAAAGCAAAAAAAGCGCTATTAAAAAACTTTTTTGTAGTAGTGAGTGTTGAAAGTACCATCTTGCCAAATTCATAACTTTCAGATCACAAATCCTTTTGAGGAGTTCTAGTACTTTTTGGAAAGCCCTCATGTAGCCCTAAAACATTCATTTCCACCAGGACCCCTGATTCCAAGTGAAACTAGGTCAAAAACCTCTCCAAAGTTGGCTGAAAATAGGTTTCTTTTGCAAAATTTCACTAAGTGTTTTTCCTTTGAAAAATGTTCTTGGTCATAACTCCGATTCTATGCATTTTTTTTGATCATGGACCACTTTGGGACTTTTTTAGGACTTGTCAAAAGCTTTCCAATGAGCTTGGAACCACCTTAATCAGATGTGTGGTTAGGAAGTTATGGTCTTGCCCCTTTCAAAATCCTAATTCCCGACTTTTTCGATTACTCCTCCATCCTTGATCCAATGGTCATGAAATTTTATGGTCAACCATAATATGATATAAGAAACATTTTTCATTCACATCATGATGTCCAATTCCTTAAAATTGAAGGGTTGACGTTTTCGTTGACGGATTGATCGATCGGTGACTACCGAGTCGACTGTTGATGTTCTGGACCTTATGAAACTTTGAAACTTCTTGAATGGACTTCACTAAGCCATATAAACTTCATGGACCATGATTCCACCATTAGAACCCCTTTAAAAACAAAAGTCAAACCACAGTTGACTTTTCCTGATTGAAAAACCCTAATCGGGTACCCTGAAATGCACTGTTTATGATCCTTGGGTGACAACCTCAAATTGGTTTCTCACTTGACCTCACATAGTATCCTTGACCTTGTTTCATGGTTGAACCAATCCAAAACATTGATTGATCAATCTCTTAAAGCTTCGATTTTGACCGTGCGGAAACCCTAATTCATCTACAACTTATCAAAGATAAACTTGAACTGGGTTAAGGTTAGATAATCACATGAGCATGATCCTAGAATGATAATGAGGATCTAAGGAGTCAAAATTTGGGGTATGACAGTTGCCCTTATTTAAATATTTTCACTAGATGAACTGAGAGATGATAGTCCTCGTAGAGTCGCAGTGAAAGGTATTTAAATATAGAAAACCAGAAATTTTGTCCCTTAGATCCGATGATATGCAAAAGGATAGGTCATGATATGCCATGAATTCTGAATGATGCTTTATGATGCAAGACACAAGAGCTAAAGTAAAAGAAAGGCAAAACAACGAGTAACTACCCCCTGGGGAAACCCGACACTGGGGACTAGATACACTGGGGACTTGATACACTGGGGAAGATCCAAGGCAAAACAAACAACAATAGTTCAAACATGAATAAAGATGCTGCTCAAGGGGAATCTTTCATACGGAGGACACAAACTCCACTGGGGAATACAAGTTTTCACTGGGGAAAAGGAAACACACACCCCACTGGGGAAGAAGATAACTCTCCATTGGGAAAGAGAACAAATTTCCACCGGGGAACCGAAAGACTAGCAACACGAACTTCACTGGGGATAATCAGATGAGGAACTTCCTATAGGCGAAGAGTTCAAATGGGATCTTCAGGAATGGACTAGAAATAAGACCGGACCCACCGGGGATACTAGTGACGACTAGATCTCCGAGACCTACTGGGGAAAAGAAAAGATTTCACTAGGGATACTAATATCACCCAAATTCAATCAACAGTTCAAACAGTGCTAGTAACAACTAGACTTCCTGGAGGTAATGGTGATGACCAACCCGAGGTGATAACAGCTGGGATTTCCCAAAACACTTGGTAAAAATACAGTATTTTGACTGGGGGAATCTGGTAACGACCAAAATTACACGCAATGCCAGTAACCACTGAGAAAAGGATTGGTAACGACCAAATCAGGGCATATCAACAATATTGATATGATGATGCTAGCAGTCATTTGGACTTCAGCTGGGGATATTAGTAACGACCAAGCCAACAAATACCAATAACGATTGGATTTAAAACAATGCCAGTTACCACTGGACTTCAGGGGGAAAGTTGGTAACGACCAGACCTCACAGATACCAATAACGATTGGATTTAAAGCAAATGCCAGTTACGACTAGACTTAAAAGGAAATATGGTGACGACCTGACTTCAAGGGGATTATATGGTGACGACCAGATCAACGATACCAATAATGATTGGATTTAAAGCAAATGCCAGTTACGATTGGACCCAAAGGAAATATGGTGACGACCAAACCAACAAGGTACCAATAACTATTGGATTTAAAGCAAATTCTAGTTACGACTGGACCCAAAGGAAATATGGTGACGACCAAACCAACAAGGTACCAATAACTATTGGATTTAAAGCAAATGCCAGTTACGACTGGATTTACACGGGGATTGCTAGTAACAACTAGACTTCAAAGGGATCGACAGGTATCACACCAAATCTAAAAGAATGAAATGAATCACACTAAACCCAGGATAAATGGTGTACGCGGATTAGGGAAATAAACCCAACCCTACTGGGGAAGTAAAGCATAAGCAAGCTAGTCAGAGATGGCAAGGTAACTTCAAATAGGTGGCCCAGAAACCCTCCGCTGGGGATACACCTTCATATCATCATAAGAAACATGAGAGATGGTCTTCAATCTTGATAACCACACATGACCAAAGGAAAACTAACAATTACATTTTGCTAACATTTCAATGGGAGATGCCTTAGGATTGCGAATCAAAGCTTCTTCCACCTTGAAACCTCGGGGAAGCATGACTTTCCTCTAATCTTTTCCGTGAGCTGAAGCATTTTGTGTTTGTTAATCTTTTCAAGTTTTATTCAATAATTTGAACTTAGTGCTTTCAAAATTATCGTTGATCACAAACAAAATTTTGCATAATAAAGAAAATAAAAGAAATCATAAATTGTAAAAAGAAAGAATGGCCCAAAACTGATTTTATTCAAGAATGAAATCTTGCAAATGGAAAAATTTCATAGAAGTTTTACAAGTGAAAAATGGCAACGTGGACAAGGTTACACTGAATCCCATGACCAACTATCCCTAAAGACTAAAACTCCCCAGAATCCTTGCTTCTGACAAGAGCGGTTGAGATGAATTCTTGTAGAATCTTCTGCTGAAGTGACAACTCATCTGATGTAGTGAAACGCCTTTGTCCCTAACTTTTGCCTGGATTGCCCTTTCAGGTTTTCCATCCACCGGGACGCTCATTTTTGCCTAAGCCGCCCTTTCGGGTTTTCAACTTAGCGAGCTCTTAATTTTCTTTTTCTCTTTTTTCTATTCTTCTTTTTCTCAACCCTAACTTTTGCATAAGCCGTTCTTTTGAGTTTTCGACTTATCGGGTTCTTTTAGGCGTAATATTTTCGTACTGCATCAGAATTCACTGGGTGAGCGAGCTTCTCTCCATCCATAGTTGTGAGAATCAATGAGCCTCCTGAGAAGACTATTTTTACAACAAACGGGCCCTCATACTTGGGCATCCACTTTCCCCGTGCATCCTTGTGAACTGGTAAAATTTTCTTGAGTACAAGTTCCCCTTCTTGGAATTCTCGGACACGA